TCTCTCTTAAAAAGATGCTTGTGATTTGTATTTATGGCCCACCTAAATCCAGTATTCTTGTCAACTCAGTATCCCTCAATTAGTGGTATCTGCAAAGTCTTTGCTATATCAGGTAACATCTACAAGTTCTATGAATTAGCACCTGTCATCTCTAGGGCTGTTATCCAGACCAATACAGGTATTTTAGGAATTAAATACAATAATGAAACAGCTCTCCAATTGAGACTAGACTCAACTTTTTGTTAACCATACATATACTCACCTTTATTTCTGTTACTTGAGTTAATTTCTGACTCTGTTTCCTGCTTTTGTAACAAAAGAATATTTGACCTATTGTTTGCTTGCTGTCTGGATTTTTCCTAAGCTTGTTGTGGTAAATAATGCAGGTTCTATTCATTAGTTCCATACAGGTTTAAAATGTTTCTATTTGAAGGTCAAGAGCCACCTTTACCTTTGCAACATCCTGGTGAGCATTTAAATCCCAAGTGAGGTGTCTGTCTATTTCTTACTCAATTGTTCTCTTTATATTCTGGAAACCCTTACTCCATTCATGTTTATTGCATGCAGCACAAAGCCCCTTAAGTTCATGATCTCTTAGCTCTTCCGTGTTCCCTTTGGGGAACCTGACTGCAGAGTTTTTTCCCTACACTGGAATGGTATGGACTTGACAATGAACTCGGCTATCACTTCTCACGATGCTAGATGCAGGGTTTCTCAAGGCTTGAAGTTGTTTAAGGCTATGCTTTGAGTTACTCAACAATCTTTAAACTTATCTGAAGTCTTAGCACCCAGATAAGGTTCTGGTTCTGCAAAGGACCAGATTATGGAGTCACATGGGGCCGTCATCATGCTAGATCCCTCTAAGTTTCCACTTGACTTTTTTCTCATTAACTCTTTAACTTAGCTCCTTTTCCAGGAAGATTGGGCTAGATCCCTATATGAGGCAGTAGTCTTCTGGGCTGGGCAGAGTCTCCAGAAGCAGTAATACTTAATATACATTGATACCATCTGCTTTGAAACTCAAAAACCAAGACGTCTCCATCATTTTTTTTTCTCTTGGTGTAATGTGTTGAGGACAGAACACAGGCTATTTCCTTAATCATAGAGAAAGGTAATAGGTACAAGGAAACACTGGTAACAAAAGAAATAAGTAAGCACCTTGATCAATTCCTTGAAATTCTCTCCCACTGCAGGTGCAGAGAATATAGGTACAATGTTTAGTAGGTAGTATGTTTACTCATGTGTACCTGTGTTTTATGAGCTTCAAAATATCAGCTGAGTTTATTTGAGAAATAGAAGTAAAGATTGAAAGATTACTAGGGATGAAAGTTCATTTGCTATCTTGGTGATTACTGAATCTCCCCTCAAATTGCTTCTCTTACGGTCTTCCTAGCTCATTAATGGTAGCACAGTTCTGCAAAATGCTTAGGCCAAGAACCTTAGTGTCTTCCTTGAGTACTCTTCTTTTTTTTTCACTTCATATTCACTGTGTCAGCAAATCCTATTGGCGGTACCTTTAGAATAGATCCAGATTCTGCCTATTTCTCACCACATCCACTGTTAACATGCTAATCTAAACCAGGGGAGGAATGGGGAAAAAAGAAGAGGCAGGATATATCATGTACAGGTGCAAATTCCCTATGATGAGTGTTATCATTATATATATCTAAAATGCTTTGCTTCAAAAAAAATTAACCATATAGTGTATTCCCTGGTTAGTTGCAGTTGTCTACTACATGGTCTTCATGCCCTTGAAACTTTTGAAATCAGTTCTCTACTCCACAGGGAGTATGACCCAATTAAAACATGTTGGTTCATATTATTCTTGTATTCAGTATGGTTTATCATGTAACTCTGAAGAAAAGCTGAATCCTTACTTTGGTGCTTTGTACAACTCTATCCTGTACCATTTCTTCTCTATCCTCTTCTCTTGGTCCTCTCCCGTTGGCTCACTCAGCTGTAGTCACATAAACCTTCTTGTTGTGCTTCAAACATATTGGCCTTGCCTGTATCTCAAGGGCTTTGCTCTTTTTCTTTCTCTAAGTATCTGCCTGGCTTGTGCTTCTTCTCCTTTGGACCTTAGTTCAGATATTATCATCTCAATAAACCCTTCCCTGGCAAGCTGTTTCAAATAGATCCTTTTCTCCTGTACCTTCAGCATTTTCTCTCTCTTCCCTGTTCTTTTTATCTTGTAGGGGTTTTGGCCAGCTTTTAAGATTTAGAGTTACTTATTGTCTATCTTCCCATAACAATGAAATCTCTATGAAGGCAGCTGTTTCTTACTGTCCTATCCACAACAAAATTCTCAGCTCCAAGAGGAGTGTCTGGCACTCCTTCGGTAAATATTTGTTGAATGGATAGATGATGAATAAATTATAGCTACCAGACTGCATAAGTTTATCTTGTAACAAATAGAAGTAGATAAACTTTTTGAGCAGGATTTACACTGACACAGATGTTTTAGGGGTTTGCTCTGATATCAGTGTCTAGGATGGATTAAAAGAATGAGAGACTAGAGGTTTGGAGAATAGGAAAAGAGAAAGGTCTAAATCGAAGTGGTGACAGTGGGGATGGTGTGATTGTTGGTTGTGAGGGACATGTAGAAGAGCAGCTGGTAGCTGGGTCTGTCAGGAATGAAGAATGTAGGAATGTACGCAGAGAAAGATGCAAAAGTATGTTTTGTATTAAAAACAATAACAATAACGGAGAAGAGAGAATTAAGGATGAAAAAGCACTTTGAGGGAAGTGAAAAGGAAGTTGACTTTGTTTTTTTTTAAGGTATTTTAAAAATTATGGTAGAATATACATAACATGAAATTTACTGTCTTAAGTATTTTTTAAATATATAGTCCCGTGGCATTACGTTCGCATTCTTGTGCAACAGCTACCAGTGTTTATCACCAGACTTTTTATCTTTCCGTACTGAAACTGTACGAAGTAAACAATAACTGCTCATTCTTCCCTCACCCTCAGCCCCTGGCAGCCACCCACCTCCTTTTTGCCTCTCTGAAATTGACTGTTCTAGGTACCTTATATAAGTGGACTCATACCATATTTGTCTTTTCTATCTGTCTTATTTAACATTTAGCATAATGCCTCCAAGGTTCGTCTGTGTTGTTGTGTGTGACATAACTTCATTCATTTGTAAGACTGACTATTCCTTTGTGTGTATATATATATATATCTATATATAGATATATATATTCATCCCTTGATGGACAGTAGGTTGTCGTTTTTTTGCTTTTTGGCTGTTGTGAAGGATGCTGCTGTGAACATTGGTGTTTACGTATCTGTTTGAATTTCTTACTTCTTGGGTATTTGCCCAGAACCAGAATTGCTGCATCTTATGGTAATTCCATATTTACTGTATTGCAGAGCCAACATACTGGCTGCAGTTTTACACAAACTATGTTTAAGGTGGCAGAGTATTTCATTGTTAGGACTAGAGCATGGATGAAAGCAACTGTAGGAAGAGCTGTTGCTTCAAAGAACCTGACTAATGTAATGGAAAAGAAGAATGTGAATTAGTTTAGAGAGGGAAAAGGGAAAATTGAACCAAGGACCGAATCTTCAGAAAGAGAAGCAGAGAAGGGAGCCAGTCACTGAGACAGAAAAGGAGCAATCAGAGTTAGGAACAGTTGATATATACTTAGCTCAAACTCATGCATATTCACTAAGCACTCCTTCAAGAATGCTTTCAGATGAATATGCTTCTATTTAAGTATGACATTACTTTCCCGGGTTCAGGTGTAGTAGGTCACAGATCACTGTTGAGGACTGAATTTCTAAGACAGAGATACTTTTCAAAAAGGTCCTAGAAACACTATAAAAATGTATAAAATTTCATCTTCCTTGGCTGGGTATTCTCCATTTCCTCTTTTACATTGATAATTTCATGGTTATGTTTCTTTCCAATCTATTTATTGAAATATGACATACATTAAGTAAACACGAATCATATTTGGATAACTTAGTGACTTCTCAGATATTGCATGTACCTGAGTAACCAACACCCAGATCAATAAATTACCCCCTGACTGGTTCCCCGCGTGGCTCATATTCCCTCTATCTAACACCATAGGTTGATTTTTTCCTGTCTTCAACCTTATATAAGTGGAGTCATGCAATGTGTACTGTTTGTGTCTAATTTCTTTCATTTGATATTATGTTTGTGAAATTCATCAATATTGTTGGGGATTTTTGATATGGATATATATATGTATATATATGTATATATAATGCTTTTTAAATAGTTTATTCTTTCTCATGTCAAAATATTTAGGGGCTTCCAGATTGGGGAATTATGAACACCATCACAGTTTCTTATTAAAAAAGAAAATTTTCAAATTATGTTTTACCTCTTTAAAGTTGCTGTTGCTTGGTTCATTTACATGTCTTTTCTACTAAGAGCCTTCCCACCTTACCTAATTATCTTCATTGTTAATATAAAATATATTTTCCTTAACATTAGTCTGGAAAGTATAAAGTGCCATAAGAAATTGAGTTGCTTTAACAAATGTACCTATTTGTATGAGAATTTTCCATTTAAAGCATGTTTTAATTTTTTTCTCAACTACTCAGATTATGTGTCTTAAATGCATATTGAACCTGTCAAAATTCCTCAACTCTTAATGAGGTGAATTGTTCAACCTTGAAATAAATATTTTAATTTTGGCACAGTGATGAGTTGGAGAAAGAATAGCTTTCATGTCTTAATGCAGATCTGTTATCAAACTTGTATTGTAATTTACATAGCAATAAAAGGAGATAGAGAATTAGCAAAAGTTATTTTGCAGTATTTATGTAATTGTGAGTACTTTGGTATAAAAATGATACTAATTCAAACTTGATAAGAAATTTTATTAATTTGGATATTTAAGAATTGAAATTTGCTATGTTTAATAGAGATATATATGTAATCTATCTTATGTGTTTGTATTGTGATACATGTAAGTTTGTTTGTTTATCTGTCAACACACTCACTGAAGCATTCTTTACAGAAAGAACAATAGAAGATCACGAGCTGGTTATTGAAGTGCTGTCTAAGTGGGGAATGGAAGAAGAAAATAAGCTATACTTTAGAAAAAATTATGCCAAATATGAATTCTTTAAAAACCCAATGGTAAGTGAAATATCAGTTATAGAAATTAAATGAGTGAGTACAATTTTATGTGAAAAAGGTACCTATAAATTGTACAAAAGGATTCTGCAAAATAATAAATTTCTTAAACAATTATTAGTCAGTATGATACACAGGAGTTTAGGGAAACATTTTATAAGACTTACTGAGGCCATTTTGATTATTTAATTTAAAAGTAGTAAGAAACCTAGTTTGTGGGGACCATTGCATCTTTCTCTTGCCTTTGAGGAAAATAAAACAAAACAAAACAAAATTATACATTGATTTGAAAATGAATTATAGTACATCCTGAAGTACATTCCAAAATATTGTACAACTTTTCATGGAAATTAGGAAATTTGTGCAAGAAACATTCTAAGATAAAAATAGATTGGCGATGGTTGGGAGAATGGTACCTCACCCAGAAATTTAAGATTGACATGAATCTTTCTGCTTCAGATTATTTTGTTTTCAATGCAATGATTTCTGAGCTAAGTAGAAATGAAATAAAGACAGTGCATTATGTAGTAAATACTACTTTCATTATAGTTCTCTTTAAAAGAAAATAAATGTATGCCACATTCTAATGAAGACAAGGAAACTAGAGAAGTCAGAATAGCCTCTGGGCTCATTATTTTAAATTGTTTTTATCTCTGCAGCTGAAGCATATTTTTACACTAAGTTTTGGATAATTGGATTGAAATGATCCTTTATGAAAAATATATGATCACACCATAATAGAATATTTTCAAACCCTGAAAGACCTCTTACGTTCTCTTTTATTTTAACCTATTAATAGAAACATAATGGGATGATCTTTGACAAAGAAAATAAGAGTTCTAATAAAAATTAAATAGAATTAGATTTGAAGGGAAATTGTTTTCTTGTTGCAAACCTTTATTAAAGGGAGAATTTTAAAGTCGCACTTAAAGAAATATAGTTTAGTGCTCATTTTTTGTTATATTTATTTTTAAGCAAGACTGGGCATGTTTTGTAGACTTGAAACAGTGGTTTTCAAGTAGGGAGGGTGGTGATTTGGCCATTCTGGGGACATTACCTATTGTCACATCAGACCACTGAGTAGGAGTGCTACTCGTGGTAGACGCTAAAATGCTGCTAAATATCCTATAATGCACAGGGCAAACCTGCCCCCCCCCCACAACACAGAGTTATTAGACCAAAATGTTAGCAGACTGCTGTAAAAAACCCTGTCCTAGAGGAAATATAGGAGAATATATTTTCTCAAACTTGTCTGATCATGAAATTTACCTAGGGAAGTCCCAGTACTTATTAAAAACACAGAATTCAAGACCTGCCCAGATGACCTGCCCAGACCTACTGAATCAGAATCAAAGAATAAGGCCTAGGAATTGCTATTTTAAACAAATTCTCTGAATAAATTTTATGATTAAACAAGTTTGAACCAACAGTAGGCGGAAAGGACTGGACTTTTATTTAGCTCCCCAGTTGAGTCCTGGGTCCTCTATTTCTGGGGTTTGACCTTGGACATAGCCTTGGCCTTTTACTTCTGTGAGTCTTGACTTTTTGAAATTGGTCAGCAGTATTCTAGTACCTGGTAGAGTGGTTTGAAGGACTTAGGGAAGAGATATGACAGCAAGTTCATTGTCAAATCCAAAGCAGTGTTTCATAACTCCATGTAAGAGGATCTCTCACATAAGCACCACCTGGGGTGTTTGCTAATCTTTGGGGCCAACTCTACATGTGCTCATTAAAGATGTGTGATGGTAAAGTCCAAGGACTGGCATTTTCAAAATCACTCTGAATATTAGACACACTTTATTAGAGGACTTTTGCTGATAGACTACTATATTGATCATAATCGATTCTTTTCTAGCATGGGTTTCGGGATAATTTAACCTGTTTGGTTTGTCAGTATTTTTTTCCAGAGCACATGGTATCTTTTGCAACTGAAACCAATGGTGAAATATCCCCCACACAGATTTTGCAGGTAAAATATATTTTCATTACAATGTGTCAGTAACACTATAACAGAGAAACTCTGATGTCTTTTTTGTCATGCCTGGATTTTGAAATGTCTTATCTTGAATGACTCATTTTTGCTGGAGGTAAACCAAAAAGGAAGAAAACAAAACAAAACTGTGTAAAAGAATGCCCTAAATCAATAATGTCTGTAACTATATTCTTCTAAGACCTGACTAGCTGTCAAAAGAGTTTAAACATTTAAAAATATTTGTCATGAAAGGAAACTTTAAGTTTTGCTGTGTGATATATGTAAAAAAATTGTAAGGCTTTGAAAAATTCCCCATAAATTGGAGGCATTTTACCAGCTAATATTTAATATGGGCTTTCACAATAAATACTGTCAATCCAGTTTTTGATAAAATATTTAGCAATTAAATGCAAGGTATAAAAATAACAGAACACAATATATATCAGATTCTTACATATATAATAGCTGTGAAGAAGTTATTTGCAGATAGTCTCAGGCAAACTAAGAATACTAGTTACCTAATTAAAAATTTCTTTAGCTTTGTATCTGTTGGGCTCATTTCTCACCAACTGGCAGTTGTTGAGATGACTGTTTTCTAAGACACTGTCATAACAATAAGTGAACAACTTATTATTTTATTTTTGATAGATTCATAGATTTGGTATCACAAAGTCATTTTGTGCAGGTTACTGTTGAGCAGTGGCTTCATTATGGCTGCTGCTTCTTTTGCTGAGCCCTGGCATTCCCACACACACTCAGTATTGTCTGGGCATTAAGATGACTTAATATTTCCAATACAGTTTGACTTTAAATATATCTATCAGGTGTTACCTGTCACAGATTTTCCCTATGGACTTTTTAATATGGTATATTTTATTTTCATGCTTACAATATTTTACAAATATGATGAGTCCCAAGAGATTTTTCTAAAAGCTGTTTCCATGATGCTGGGCTTCCCAGGGACATCTTTTCACACTATTAGGATAAATGGCAATAGAAGCTATGGCCGTGGCCCCCAGATCTCAGCCCTCTGAGTGCTTCACCTCTCTATAGTGACATGATGGTGGGAAAGAGTTAGTCTTCTGCCTTCTTTTCCCAATTCTCCATAGCATAGTTACATTGCTTTAATGTTAAATTATAAAAACAAGAAAAATCATGGTCTTTGGAATCAGATAGTCCTGCCTGTGCCCCTGACCTCTTCTCTCCGCTGAGGCAATGTTTCTACTTTTTAAAAGGTTTCTTCTTTTTCTACTGTGACCTCTATGACTCTCTTTTTAAAATTTAATTGGTTTGGTTTAATAACTTGGAAAGCACTCAAACTAAAAAACCTACTTGCCTGTTTTGCATGTCAATTAATTAATGTCCGTGACTCATTAAATTTGAAAATTTTTAGCAATTTACTAAAAAATGTAAATATTCTCAGCATTTCCCTGAATAGTCTTTTAAAATATAGTATATTGTTGTAGTTAATAATTTCTTACTTTCATTTTTCCATTTTTGCATTTGTTTATTCATAGGAATTTCTATTTTCTTCTTTTAATGAGACACTAATGCATTTCTACTGTCTTATTAAGTGTGTTGAGCATAGCCCCTAACATAGAGCTCTTCCTTTCCATTCTCCTTTTCCTGACAACCATGCCTGCTGTCTCAGTTAATTAATAGTGTATAACAAACTCTTCCAAACCTTAATGGCTTAAAGTACCCACTCACATTTTGCCAATAATTTTGAGGGGCAGATATTTAGAAAGAGTTTTCTGGGAGGGTTGTTTCTGAAATACTTTGATTCCCCGCTTGTTGATTGAGGGTTCCTTTCTAAATTTGCTTTTTCACTACATGTGACTTGGCACTTTTGGCTTCTCTTTCTTTCTCTCCACATGATGGCTCATCCTCCAATGTTTTTCCATTTTCACTGGGCTTCTCATTCATGGTAGTCTTCGGGTGATCACATTTCCCAAGTGACAGCTGGCTTCCAAGAGTTAAGTTTTGGAAGCTGTCCTGCTGGGACTACATGTAGAGCCTGCTGACTGTCACTTCCACCATATTCCATTGATCAAAGTAGTGACAGGCTTCATCAAATTTAAGGGAGTAGACAAACAGATGCAACCTCTTCATAGCTCAATGCTAAGATCAGATAGCAGAAGAGCTTGTGGGATGAAAGATATTGTTGGGATACTCTCTGAAAAAACCTGCCATATCTACCCATAATTGAGAATCACAAAAGACAGGGAAGAGATTGTATACTTTACCCTCATCAGAGAGGTGAACTTGACTCAGCTTCTTGAGTAACAATTGAAGTTAGGATTGTGGTTTTATACAGTATAATAGTGATGTTGATAAATAAACCTATAGTCTCAGGGAAAGCCATGCAAAAAGGATGATAAGTATCAGGACTTAACTCTATAAATAATCCAGCTTTTCAAGTCGACATTCCAATAGCTTATAATTTGCGTTTACTTAAGTATTGATCACTTAGAATATATATTTTGTGAACATTTTCATGTGGAACTTGTCTCATGATTTTGAAAGATTTATTTTCTATTTTACATGCATTATGATTTTAGTAATGATATGTGGATAATATTGACGCTGTTTGGTTTTGCATATTTATATTTAATTGGTAAAAGGTTAAAAACATGAGACTGATTTTTCTTTCAGATGTTTATAAATTCAAGTACATATCCTGAAATCCATGGCTTCTTACATGCAAAAGAACAGGGAAAGAAGTCCTGGAAAAAAATTTATTTCCTTCTCAGAAGATCTGGTTTATATTTTTCTACTAAGGGGACATCGAAGGTAAATTGAAGTAACCTGGTATGTGTTATGAATGATATATTAGCTGTAAGTTAAAACAGACTTTACTTTTTTATATTGATCTCTTTATTACTTAATGTCACAAGTTAATACTTTTTTTGAATCCCAAACATAACTATCATAATTTGTTTAAAAACTGTTCAGTTTTATTTCGCCCTAGTTTCTATGTATCATTGATGGACTTTGGATGCTCCAATTTTAATACCAGATACATTGTTTGTTTTGCCCCACCCTGAAGTCCATTTTGAAGCTCAATGTAGTTTGTACCTATTCTTTTTATCGTAGGTCCTATGACTAATCTTGCTGCTTCTGAACTGCTATTAATCAACATCAGCAGGGCAATCAGTAACACATGACTGTCTCTTGCTTTTTAGTTATTTGTTCTTTAGTTACTTTCTTGCTCTTTAGTTACTTTGTGTATGTTATTTTATTTCCTTACCTAGAAGATAAATTCCTAGAGAAAGTTAGGATGTCATGATCAGGGTTGAGTGGGTGTGCTTATTTGTTTGTTGCTGTATACCTACACCTATGCACATCATTACACCGATATACACACACACCCACACAGTCACTTACATATATTTCCACAGTGCTCAGCACTGTGCACTCTTGTGTTTCTGTGCATCTAGTCTGTGCCCACTATGCCATATAGTCTATGGTTTATAAATGTTGAAATTTTATACAGTGCATTTGGTATCTTTCAACTAAAAATGGTTTGGGGTTTTCATGAAAGATTATTGTAATTCTGTTTTCATGCATCTGTTGTTATCAGTAACAACACCATTGCTTCATTATGGGTAAACTGGCATTTCTCTCTAGCTCTTTTTAAAATAATCTTATATTCATTAGTGTTCATCAGTTTCTGTGCCATATTATTAGGTGTGTTCTAATAAGTCTACTATATCTTGCTTGATTCTCTGCACACATTCATTCTGCAAACTTACAGTCTTTTAGACTAGAAATATTCATTGATTGTCTATTTGACTATTTTTTCCCATTTTTATTATTTGATCTTTTAAATTCTCAGTCTTAGTTACTTATGGCTGCAGATGTACCTTGGCTATGCCTGACTAACTCCAATCTCTGTCTTTATCTTTACATGGCTTCCTCTTCCTCCCTGTGTATCTCTTATAAGGGCATTTACTGTGTTTAAGCCCTACTTGAATAATCTAGGATGATTTCATCTTCAAATGCCTAATTTAATTACATCTGTAAAGACCTTTTTTTCTAAATAAGGTCCCATTCACAGTTTCCAGGACATGGGCATATCTTTTGTGGGGCTACCATTAACTCACTACAGAAAGTCATTGAAAAAATTTCTAACAAAAGGGTGAATGAGATCGGAAGAGTATTTTAAGAAGATTAATGTGGCCTTGGGAGCTTAAAACCTGAGAGAGGAGGGGGGAGGGAGAGAGATTAAAGGCATGGATGCTATGGATGCTGATGGTCATTTCATTAATTCAGGGTGGAGGTGAAGGGATCTAACTGAGGATGAACAGTAGTGAATGGCAAGAATAAAGGAGTAGCTGGAAGATTAAATGGAAAATGGCCAGATTTGGGTGACTGATATAAAAGAAGAGGAAGTAGTTAAAAATGTTTCTAGAGGAAGAGACAAAGGAAGAAAAGAGAGAAAATGATAGAAAATAATCAGGAGCAGGAGGTTTCCTAGAAGGTCACTCTGCTTGGAAGACAGTAATCCTAGCTCTTACATGTGTTGTATCAAGGACAAAGCATCCAGATGGAAAAGCCCAGAACATAGCTAATGATGGGGACTAGATATTTGGGTAATAGTCCAGTTTGGGAAATGGAGCTGCAAATGAGTGATACTTGACTTTTCTGTATTTTCCTCAACTACTTTTGCTTAGTCTTCTCCTTTGCCTCAAATAGTTTTCCTTGGCTGCTGTTTTTGTGTGTGAGTATGTATGTGTACACATGTGTGTGTTTCCCTGCAATGTAATGTTTTATGGAATGGAACTTTATTAATTTAGTAACCCATCCCTTCACAGAAATCTTTTAAAGTATATGTCATTTGGATACTAGTATGCTTTCACGTAGTTGGATTTAACTTATCTTTCTTCAACATTTAAAATACTTTTCAAATTTTTCCATCTTAAGCACTGTTAAGATGAATACCCATTTTTGCTCTGCTTTAGATTTGTCTTAGACATTTCTGTAAGATTACTCTTTTCTTAGTGTTTCTATGTATGAAATAACCTACCAGTTGTTTGTTGTTGTTTAACACATGTGTGTTGGATTGATTTTTTACTTTTAAAATCAGAGGAAAATAGATTTTAAATCAGGTAAATCATGTTTTTCTCATTCTACTGATTCTTCAAAGGAAGAAGTGATAATGCTTCTTTAACTCCTTTATTCTTCTTTAAGAAAACCCACTGCCCATGATATTTTTACTGGTTCTCTTCACATTACCTCAAGGCCTTTTTCCTATTGTCCTCTTTTAAAGTACTTGCCTTCTTTTTAATGCTAATCATTTTAGCAACTGAGTTCCCCTCTGCTCCATCTTTGCAAGCCCCAACTTTACCAGGGCTTTCTTTTTGGACAAACTCACAAGTTTTAAAATCAATCAGCTGGGGTATTTGCTCTTGATTTGCATAGGCTAAAAGCCCCCATCAGTACCCAAGCCACAGCCTGAATGTTTGGCTGCCTTGAAATTTCCTCTTCCAGATTAATTGGTCTGCCAACCTTAATCTCAGTTTCCTGCAAAGTCTCAGGACACAAGAAAAATGCAGACAAATTTTCTGCCAGAGCATAATGCACATGGCCTGGAGTGGAACTGCCAATGCAGTCTTTCTAATACAGTTAGAAACAGTGGAGCCGAGGAAGTCACTCCCTTCCATCCATTTAAATCTAAAACAGCAACCTATGGCTCATTCCTCCTTTCACTGTCCTGAGAGAGGTAGAAAATAAAATAACAAAAATCTAGGAGATCTCTGATGCTCTGGGTGAGAGCACATGCATGTTTGACCTCCTAGCCTGACCATCAAACCTACTCAAACCTTATTAAGTATTCATAAATATGAACTACATGTCATGCATGAAGTTAAGATCACATTGAATTCTAGGGTAAGCATTCTTGTTGAGAGCCCCTGAGATAACACCGCGCCCTTTCAATCATTCCTGTTGATCATGTCTAGAGATTCAGGGAGAGACACCTGGGCTGAGGTGAATATCCTCTAAGTTTCAAGGAACTTGCTATTGCCATGTGCAGTGACCTTTGTGCAGTGCTTTAGCTTTTCTGTCACTCTGGCACTATTTTTCTGTCTGTTGGCATAGACTTGCCCTGCACACAACTTCCTGTGATCTTCAATAAATGTAGCTTCTTGCCACTTGGTACCTGGTGTACTCTTGCGGTTCATACCTTGGCATACACAAGGGCCTGGACTGTACCTGCTCATTCCATGGTAATACTTCTGAACTAAAACCTCTTGAACCTGGTCTTTTCTGGCTGCATTACTGTCAACATTCTTTCTGGTCTTCTGAGCTCCAACCAGAATGTCTCATCAAGCTCCACTAACAGCATTCTAGGGCTGCGTCCCCAGCCATCATCTCCACACCTTTCCAAACTCTTCCCATAAGGCTGTCCCAAAGGGTTCTGAACCACATGGTGGGCTAGCATTGCAGCAATGACCCCACTTCTCTCATACCAAAATTTTAGTTACTTTCTTGTCACTGGGACACAGTACCCAACACTCACAACTCTAAGGAGGAAAGACTTATTTTGGCTCACAGTTTTTAGAGGTTTCAGGGCATAGTCGGCTGACTCCAAGGCAGAACAGCCTGAGAGGGGCATGGCAGAAGAGGGTTACTCACAGCATGGCAATCAAGAAGCAGAGAGAAGGATCAAGGGAGGAGGGAGGTAGATATACCCTTCCAGGCCACACCTCCAGTGACCCACCTCCTCCTAACATTACATTTAGTTATAAATTCATCAGTGGACTAATCCACTAGTGAATATCACACCCTCATTATTTAATCATCCCTCAAAGCCCCACCTATGAGTATATGAGGCTTTGGGGGGACATCTAGATATAAACTGCAGCATCTTTAATAATTATGACCTTGATACAAAATATGTAGCTTATCTAACTTTAGTATGGCATTTCTCCTGGCAAGGAGACCATTTTTAAATTTTTTTTCTATGAGAAATTCTTGTTGATGTTGTTTTCTAGAGATGTAAAGGCAGAATGGGAGTTAGTAACTAGTACTGCAAGCCTTGGAGACATGCCTATGTCTGTACAGAAAAACCTGTACAGAAAAACCTCTAAGTGCCCATCTTGTCCTTTATATGTGCATGTTTAGATTTGCCAGGCATGAACTCAGCCTTAGAATCTTATGGTGCCATAGCCTTGGTATCCCTTTAGTAGTAGTACAAAAATCAACAGGGGTAAGATCCTCATCATGTTTCTTACTGCCTTCCAGTGTTTCTTAACCTGCCTTTTACTTCCACATGAGTGACTGTGCTGTATTGATTTCTACATTCTCAGTGTAAAGGGATGGTTTTCCTTCATCTTCCTAGCAATCAGACATTTTTTGTTAGCAAACAGTTTCTACCAAGAATAAAGTTTTAAAAGACATGGTTATATGAGTAACTTTCTCTTTTCTCTTTCATTGTTCTAAAGGCCTAAGATGAGACTTTTTTTTTATGGCTTTTTGTGAGATAGGGTCTTCCTATGCAGTTCAGCTGGCCTTAAACTCACTATGTAGTCCAGGGTGGCCTTTAACTCATAATGGTCCTCCTGCTTCAGCCTCCCAAGTGCTGGGATTACAGGCATGTGCCACCATGCCCGGTGAGGATCTTTTTTAAAAAATATCTTTTCTGCCTTATGCTTCAAGGCAGTTAAGAACCATAGTCTTTCGTTAGATTAAAGTGTGTAAGAAAAATGACATACAGTGAATTTCTTCCTCTACCAGTCATCAGAGTTGGAATAACCTACTGGCACATGACAGTGATGTTTCTTTGGATTTAGATGGGGTTGCTCATATTACTGAATGTTCTGGGTGTGCGTGTGTGCACGCACGTATGTGTTTGAGCACAGGTACTAAATTTGAGTCCACATGGTGTCACCTGAGATCTTGTTAGCATGCAGAGAATGATTCAGGAGGTCTGAGGTGAGCCCTGAGACTTTGCATCTCTAACAAGTCCCCTGGTGCTGTGAATTCTGATGGTCTGAGATCACTCCACTGGTAGCAAGGTTTTGGAGAACAAGTGCATGTTGGCCACTTTTGATTATACATTCAACCGCAGAATTAAACACTTTGCCAAGTTATTAACCTATCACAGAATAATATGACCCACTGATTTCCCATGACCAGCTCTAAATCTCTTGGATTTCCCAGAGAAAAAAATAACTGTTCATGGTTCCATTTTACCTTGAAAATCAGCCATATTTCAGTGCAGGTGATTTCCCTGCCCTCATCTGTACGGCTTCCCTCTCCCTGTACAGCAAGGTAGTTATGCACCCTGTCTTGTTGTTTCCTTTGGTGCGTTTTCTGGTGGGAGGGGTGGTTGTATCTGAAAAGAGCCGGAATCATCTCTCTCTCTTTTTGTGGCTAGCTGCTGCAGAAGCTGAAACCAACCTCTTCCCTTTGAAAGGCTGCCATTATTTGAAATGGGTATTAAAAGAAACAATTTGAACAGCCATTCTTTGCTATCTTTTTTCTCTTTCAGATTCCTTGAAATGCTGGTTATAGAAAATAAAAGGTTTAAAAAATATAACTTGGATATTACATAAGTATATATATACTTATATTTTGAATATATTTATAAATTATATTTCTATATATAAATATATATCATTAGAAATTAAATCATGAGCAGCTTGCCATTTGTCGATTTAAATAAAATTGTGTGCAATTCTGCTTATTTAACAACAAAGTGACTAAGTGGGGTTTTTTCAATTTTTTTTGGTCTTTTTTTTTGTGCTATTACACAGATATTCTGTTTGTGATAATTTTTACCCAAGACATAAATTATGTAGTATAATGGAATTGCAAAGAGAGGTATTGCAAAATATGTATCTTTTTCAACAGATATGTATATATAGAGAGAGAGACAGAGAGAGAGAGAGAGGTGATCGCACTTTTTTTCTTTTTTTAAGGAACCACGGCATTTGCAGTTTTTCAGCGAATTTGGCAGTAGTGATGTTTATGTGTCCATGGCAGGCAAAAAAAAACACGGAGCACCGACTAGCTATGGATTCTGCTTTAAGGTACAGGCTTAATATTTTGATAGATGAATAAAGCAAGCCTCAGCCTTTTAGGTAAGCTTGAGTTTCTTTTAATTTCTTTTTAAAAGAGACAGCTTTCTCATATATAGGAGAATTTTAGTGGCTTTTATTTCAACAGGTGTTACCTTCAAGATATGCATTAACGATAAACAATGTGCTGTGGCCTTCTAGCCTAACAAAGCAGGAGGGCCCCGAGACCTGAAAATGCTCTGTGCAGAAGAAGAGCAGAGTAGGACGTGCTGGGTGACTGCGATTAGATTGCTTAAGGTAATCTTGCTGGAGGTTTGAATTTCTATTAAATTCTATGGCTAAATGAAGAAGAATGAAAGTAATAATCACCAAATATGTGTGTTTATTTTAAATTGATAGATAAACATTTGCAGAGTAACATAGAATAACAATACATTTATCTTTTGCCAATGGAGTCTTGCTTTTCTAGAAATGCTCTGATTTTTACTTTGCAATGTATAATTAATGAATGTCTCCTGTATACGTGGGGGTATTTTTTTAAATTAAATTCTTTTATTGGTACATTGTAGGTATACAACACACTTACATTTCTCATTGGGAATTGTACCTTTACATAATGCATCTTGGTTCTTATTTTTTCCACATTCCTAGCCCTC